ATGATAATATCTTATATTCTTCAAACCTAGAGATATGATTTGTTACTATGAGTTGGTTGTACATTGATTGCACAAAAATACATTCGATAACTCGGTGTTATAAAACGTGCTTTTATGTATGATTCAACAAGTAGTAGAACAAGCCATATGAGTCGAAGTTTATCCATTCCTTTTACCTTCGGGATAAAATCAATATATGTGGGCCCCTTGATGATTTGATAATGAAAAATAGAAGTGCTCAGCCGGGCCAAGACTGATCTGATTTGTTCAATCAGTCAGTCTTCATAAATCGGAAATCAGGAAACAACAAATGGACAGAGAGAATGATTATAATCCATGTCTCAGTCCATATGATATCTAGAATGGAGGAAAATATGATCCCTTATCTAAAGGAAAATTCATTAACAAAGGTCAAAGTTCATCTACAAGGTCAGAGCTCAGCAGAGTTCATCATGAATTGTACCCAAGGATCATGGAAATGAAAGGCCATGTCAATTAGGGTTTACATAATGTAACCTTAACTATATATGCATCTTATTCTTGACCAAAATCAGCACTAATATCACGCTAGAGAAGGGCTAGCCGATTTCATGGAGTGTTCAAGTTTCTCTCAAGTTATTCCAAGTGTATTTGGTGTTGTGTGAAACATTTGAGGTGTCACACTTGGGGCACTAGATACTCAAGCTTCATGAAGACTTTCTACATCAAAGAGGTATGTATTCTATCTTGTTATATTCATTGTTTTGTATGCTAGATTAGGATAATACCTTGGAAAGTTCATATTTGCATGTATAATAGAGAAAACATAGATCTAAGGTATTTAGGGTTGCATGTACACTTAGGAGTGTTAGAATGCTTAAAACCCATCAGAAACTCACTTTAATATCGTGATTTGACAGTATCTAGCTGAAAACGGTCAACGGTCCGCGGTCGTTAGGCTCGGGATGCAATATGGCTTCAGCAAACGAGAGAAAGGGAAGAAGTTCAGGTGTAAGAACAGCTGAGGTCAAACTTCTTGTTTATAGGAAGTTTTTTGTCCTCTCACGTCGTGAGAGCTATACTCTCATATCGTGAGCCATGGTTGGTTATCTCGTAGACTTTCCGTTTGCGTCCCTAGCTTCGGAAGGTGTCCATATGACTCCTCACGTCGTGAGAAATCCTTGCTCACGTTGTGAGCCTATAACTTATCCTTTCGTTGGCTCATCATGTGTAATCTAGGTTCGAAAGGTGGATCTTTGACTCCTCACGTCGTGAGCCTTGGCGGATTAGGGTTTCTGCCACGTGTCATGCTCTAAGACAACTGTAACTTCGGAAGGTCATAAATTTTGCACACGAACTCCGTTTTTGACATTCTCTATATCCACGCGTAGATATTTACGAGTACTAAAAGTATTTTTTACACTCCAATAGCTAATTATTAGTATATATTAAATTCCTCTTGTTACAAGGATCTATAACTTTAGAATTTATCATAACTGCTGCACGCGAAGTCAGATTTACACGTTCTCTATATTTTTGGAATCGTATAGACGTCTACTATAAAATATGCTTGAAAGTTCATACTTGTATTAGAATTACTATGAAATACATAGTGAGTTTAATACATTACTTGTTTTACAAAATCACATTACTTCATTGACATAATCACATGTGATTGTTGTTGAACTATTTTGATGGGCATTACTGTTATGTTGCAATCCTATGTGTTTCTTTTGTGGCAGTGATAGTAGATATTCATGGTGGAATCACAGAGGGAACATAGGAGAAATATGGTGCACCCTATTAGAGTAGGACTTCATTTTTTTTCGTTGTATATTCCTATAATAAAAAGGTTAGTAGCACACAACGTGTGTTCAAATAGTTTTAGTTTATTCAAACATAAATATGCTTATGTTGCTAAACTCATAGTTTTGACTATTTATTTGGACTATTTTTGAGTAAAAACCCAGTATATATATATATATATATATATATATATATATATATATATATATATATATATATATATATATATATCATTACCAAATATTTGAATTAATTTAAACCTTCAAATCTTTATGTAATATTTTTTATTTAATTAATTCTATAAGCATTCTTAATTTTATTATTATCTAGATAAATAATTTCACTTAAAAAATATAACATTTCTATCCCTAAATGTAAGTATTATAATTTATAAGCATCATTTTACCGAAATGGTCACTTTATCGATTTACCGAAATTACAACTTCATTTGTTTACCCAAAGAAAAAGGGGCTTGATGGACTTCACCATGATCTTTTTAGGTAATCCATATTATTGGCTATGATATCTTGGAAGCTTACGAAATCGTCCATAGATTTAGAGGTGTGTAAGGATTGATGGACTCAAATAATTGATATTCTTACTTCACATATATTCAAATCAACATTCGTAACTTTTGAATATTCAACCTTCAATAGTGAACTTGAAAAGGGGAACAAAATGAACCTCATATAACAACTACATGTCATGGCATCAATATCAAAATCATCAAGGTCAATTAAAGAGGTGTGTTTAATTTTGTACCTTGAAAGAAAAGAAATTAGTATAGAAAAGACCATTTGTGAATTCATATATAGGTTCAGAGGTGGGTTTATTTGATTCACTTGTCATGTCTATCTACATAAGACTTGTATTCCCACATGAGGAGATGGAGAAGAGTGGGAACATGCAGGTCCAATTCCATTCCGGAGGAAATGGAGAACTCTGGTGGCTAAGGGATGGTCTAATAAAGATGACGATATGTGTATGCCATTTGATTTTATTATTTAATTAAAATAAATTATAATTAAAAAAATTAATATATAGAATTCAATTTATATTAAAAAGAAGTTCAAAACTAAGAGTTATTTTATATTAAAAAGATTTTAAAATGTAAGCTTATACCAAAAAGCCTTTGACCTGGGCTTATGGTGAAATGTCATTACTCAATAACGTCAATTGAATTTTTTTTACTCAAAGGTAATATATTTATTAAGTTTTTCTATATAAATCAGGCACGACAAACGTTTATGAGGTTTAAATGTGCATTTTTTTTCTTCATTCCTTTGTAAGTATAGCCTTTTGATGATTGTCTTTTATAAAAACTGTATTCATAATATATTTTCGCCACGTTTCAATTTGTTCACTACTAGAAAACAATCCTTTAATGACGTGCAAACAATGACACTCACCGATAGAGTGCGCGCATTTGTGGGTGCCCTAAAAAATAGTGTCAGTTTTGCAAAATTTGAAGGATCGAAGACACGCATTTGTGCATGCCCTAAAATTAGTGTTAGAAAAGAAAAAAAAAGGAAATGTGGAGGGTGCCTTTTATAAAATGTGTGTCATCTAAGTATGTCGCTTTATAAATTTTTAATGAAACATGCCTTTTAGGCGGGAAATGATCGATCGACAAAAATCCCCAAATTTTTGGAGAACCCGCTCATTCATTCCTCTCCACTTGCCAATGACCTTCATTTTCTCCCCTCCTTCTCACTGTAAAACCTAGCAGCCGCCACCACCAGAAACATAGTTTTATGTTGGCTTCGTTCTGTGTTGTAAGAACAAGAGTCTGATCCTTCATTAATAGCTAAAGGGGGGAAATCCCCCAAAATTTTGAAGTACCCCGCTCACTCCTCTTCACCTCTACCCTACTCCATCAACAACGACTCCCCACGTTTACAAACCCTATAATTCAAAACGATTTTTCATTCCTCATGAGTGTTTTCCAGTCAACGACCTAATCAACCTCATCGGCAACCTCTGTCTCACCTCACCTCATCAGCGAGCTGCGGCTCACCTCTACACACATGCGACTACAACTCTTCAAATCACCCTAAGTCCTACCCTTTCTCTCTATTCAGGAGCCAGTAATGGCGGCAAAGAAGATCAACAATGAATACCAACTGGTTCGATTTCTCCCTAAAAATGGTGCTTCTCCTAAATCCGAGTTGACTCTTCATTCTCTGAGTTTGTTTTCTCCGTAATTGATACATCCACCTTCTCATCTCGCTCCCTCTACCAGGTTTTCTCTCATCTCTCTCCTCTATAGATGAATTTTGTCAGAGATGTGAAGGGAGTAACCGAAGGAAACCCTAAAACTGGTACAAATCCAACTTCACTCTTCACTCTCTGATTTTTTTTCATTCCATTACCTTTATGATACTATCTTTCATTTCATTTCAATATGTTTATTCCTTCTTTAGAATCTATGATTGTTCTTTGTTTGAAGATACCTTCCTTTTTCTTAGATCTTTTGATTTGCTTGTTTGCAATTTCAGTCAATTGTTTCAATCTCTAAATGCTAACTTTCTAAAAAATATATTTTCTTGAAGTAATGATGTAAAAGCTAAGCAGAACAGTATAGTCGAAAGTTCTGAAAACATATTTAAAATGATATGATGACCTTTTATTTTGAAGGTACCTAAGTTCTTTCATGCATACACTTCACAACTTGTTTTTATACAGGAACCTTGATTTTATAAGAAATAGTATCTTTATTAGAGTTAATCGCAAGTGGGTTTGGGGGGGGGGGGGGGGCACAAACAAAAGGTCCCATACTAGCTCTGATTAAGAGGAGGGAACTCGAGACCCAAATGTTACTCCCACTGATTTTACTAGTCGGGAAACTAAGGTCTGGGAGGCAAAATCTAAAACTACTGACCACTTTTAATGTTGTTGCACAAAATTACAGGAATACCCTCCTGAATTAAAATGGACATGGCCATGACCAGAAAGATTGTGTAGAGTGAGGGTCTTAAGGTAAAGTTCACTTTGGTGATGATTTTTTACAAGAAATGCCCCTAGACATGATCAAGCTTTCCTTTAAACCTTCCTTCTATATATCCATAAAAAAATCATTTAACATGATGAATACTGTAGAACTTGTGAAATATAAGTTATTAATTAATCATGAATCACTGCTAACACCAACTTTAATATCAGTTTCAATTCCTATGATTAAAATGAGATACATTTTATTTATACTTCAGTTTCTCATGATTAACATTCGATTAC